TAAAATTATAAATTTATAATTATAATTTATTAAATATATCACATAATATTATGATTATATTATTTTCATTAAATAAATAAGAATTTAGTGACTTGGGACGTGGGGGCCTCTTCTCACGTTTGGGGTGAAGGTAAATATAGGAATTTGGTCACCTTCATGCTACAACAAATAGCAATAATTTCCTGGGGTTAATATAAACAGTTAAACTAATTGGACGTGGGGCAAGAGCAATCGCATACCATTGATTTTGCGCTCTTTTGTGCTCTGCAATTTTCAAGTTTTCTAATCTAAAAAGTTATGCTTTACTTGGAAATTTGAGGTTATCTGTCGGTCCAATGTCGTCTCCCACCTAATGGACCTCGGGTTCATATAATTCCACGTAGCGATTCAAGTATTTTAGCGAATTAGAAAATACAAGTCTACTTTGTGATTGATACATACTCCACATAATCTTGTTTTAAATGAGCAGAAGAGGAGAAGAGGAGTATGCAATCTTGTACTTTATTCTGCATCTAGTTACAAAATCTCAGTTGTTGAATGCGGAGGGCCTACCACCTACACATGCAATTAAGAGCCTCACTCATTCAATGAACCATGTGTTACATACTTAAATTCAATATAATTTGAATGGTAAAACACTTAAAAAATAATAATAATAAGAATTCTCTTATGCGATCTAATGGATGGATTATGCTACTCCATGAGTAGCAGGTGAAGTTCGTACAATTTTTGATTCGACTCTAACTCTAAACAGATACGAACTTATTAATCTAATGTTTTCCTTGTCAAAATAATAATAACAAAGAAAAAAGAGAACATTGTGAACTCAAATAAAGGCTCAATAGAAAGGCCAGGTCATATTTGTGAGAATAGTATGAAACGACTAAAGGCCCATATTTACGTTTTGCTGCCCCGGTAAACCCATTAAACGAGTCATTTCTGCCCTGAGAGATATAACAACTGAAAATGTATGCAAAATCATTTGATTCTTGTTCTTGTTTCACAATTCAATAAGGAGAGGTTCCCATATCAAGAAACGGTTCCCATTGTGCAATTCCTTTCGACTTGGACTGCATATCAGTTTTTCCTAATCATTAAGTTCCTAGTGTTTTGTCCATGAAAGGACCTGTAGAAGGGACCATCACAAAAGTTCCATCATGGAGAGTTAATGTAATGGTGAACCTCTGCCTCTAGGAGTAGACATGAATCCCAAAGAACAGAGATTATTAATAGAAGTTGCAGTTACCATAGCAAAGGGAGTTGATACAATCACGTCAATGCATGAATATAATTACAATTCCTGGTTTCTAGTGCTTCACAATTGTGTCTCAAACATTTGCATAATAATAACAATAATACAACAATTAGAGCTATTACGGGCTTCTTTTCTTTCCTGGCTAATGCCTGACGTCTAGAGCATCTCCTTCAGTATATATCATAATTTTTGAGACAGTGTTGCAGAATTCCCTGTAAAACAATATCATTAAACTTTTTATGAGGTCAAATCCATTAATCCAATGACATTTACCAGAGACCTTGAAAGAAGGCCACGGCCATATCAGAAGTATTCTGCAGACACAATACAAAGGCATTTTAAACCAGATAGTAGTAAACTACTCTGTCAGTTCAGATGCAAAATCCTCCAGAAATAGCGTGCCATTGGTGGTAAGAAACAGCATTCTACGAACAAAGCAATATCAAAATGCATTAACTCATACAGCATAGAGGTTGCTTACTTTGTTACTTCCAACAGGGTTGGTCACTGCTGTGGCTGTTGGATGGTACTGCTCTGCAACATGAGGCAGAAAAGAAACTCCAGGCCCCAAAGCTGAAGTAGCTTGAACTATGTTCTCCTCTTTATTTGCACGTTTATTTGCATCAAGGCTTCCCTCAATCAAGGAGAAACCAAAAAGTCTACAGCTACTTTTACATGATGGAGCTAAATCTTGATTAGTCCTAAACGCTGGTTGAGCAGTAAGACACTGAGAATTGTCAATTTGAATATGTGGGTTTGAATGACCCAAAGAATTCATGACTCCAGAACTTCCCATGCTTAAACCATGCTCAAAACGTGAAGACAGCATCTGCTTTCTCCCACATGTTTCAGCAGTATGATTGGAAACCCAATTTTTAAGGCCATGTTCCCCTTGATTATTGGTGTTATAAAGAGGATTTAAGTTTGGAATTGGGTTGCTTGCTTGCTGGAACATTAACACGGAAGATGGTGATGAAACCTGTGTAGAGGATAAAGATGTTTGCATCCGAGTATTATAGCCCTGTATCATGGAAGTCCATCCATTTCTAGTGCCTGAAACCCAACTACCATCAGGGACTCCAAGACCACCATTTTCATGAGCCTCGTTAGTAGTTGGAGCTCTTCCATATGGAGTGCTGAGAAATATTTCTTGACCTTGCAAGACCTTATTGAATCTGAAAGACTCACCAAAGCCTTTGCTTTTGGAGGGAATGTCAGAATTCACAAGTGGATCTCTGACAATATTCCCTATTGCAGCAATTCCAGAACCGTTTGAACCAGGAAAGCACCGCCTCATTTCATAGATATGCATATTCTGATAATCAGCACCATCATAAAGAGGGTTAAAACCCACAATTTCTTGACCTTGCAAGACCTTCTGGAACCTTAGAGATTCCCCGCGGTCAGAGGCTCCAATCCCATCTGTTAGACAAATAAAACACTTAGCAAATATAATGTTGCATGGAAGTGAACACGACAATGGTTGTAAAGGCCCTACCAGGGAATGCAAATTCTGGTTTTCCTGACGGCAATCCAACCCTCGTCCTCTTTGAACCAGTCATGAGCAAACTGTTGGAATTGGAAATTGAACCAGATGGCTCGATTTCCCAGGGAGAAACCCTGCTCTGCCTTGCGGCTTCAAAATCATCCCACCTTACCTGCAAAAATGAACCATAAATAACCACTAAACATAAGAACTACGTATATTTCATGATATCTCATATCAAAGAGCAGGACATCATGACATCAAGAAATTTATAAAGAATCCAAAGCATCAAAAAGAGTCAAACTACACTAAAGTGTATAAACTACACAAAATATTCAAATCTTCCAGCTTTCTAGTCTTTTTGGGTTGTCCTAACCCCTCAACTTTGTATAAATTAACTTGATGATTTTATATAGCAAATTAATGACAGCTGAAATAGATATAATATTTTTTTTTATCCAAGTGAAAATATTCAACAATCAGTACATATAAGAAGAGAAATTTTCAATTGTCATTTATTTTCTATATAAAATCAATTAAGTAAAACTTTACACAAAAGTCAAACTAGGACAACTAAAACCAACCAAAGGGAGTGTCTAATGATGTCTCACTGGAATGACAAATTTTCTGCCCGAATAAGATGTGAAGTAATGATCAAAATATTCATTCACTATATTCATTTTCGTAAGACAAGGCATGGTCTCACATCTGTAATGCAAAACCTGAAGAAAATAGACAGTTCTATACAAAAGAATAAATCAATAAAATCAGAAATGGGCCCATATCCTATCACATGTAGTTTCAACCTTCAAAGAGCAGCAAACAGGGGCAATAAAACACCCAATTTTTAAAACAAATGGAACACGAGCAGAATGGTTACTGAAAAGTTACAACTTGGAATGCTACCAGTTCATAGATTCAATCTTCAGCAAGCAACAGAACAGGGCATTCAAAGCCTAACATGTTGCAATAAGAACAGAAGAGGAGTAAAAATCTAGCCTCTAAACAATAAATTGGTTAGTTGAAAGACCAGCACTTATCAGTAATTGAATTATATGATTTCAGATGTAAAAAGGGCCAAAAGATAAGCCAGCCTTCAGAAAAAGTCATATCATGATAAAAGAATTGCCTGAAATCATTCACCAATCTCCATGAAAACTGCATCCAAGAACATATAAATAAGTTCAAGAACACCTACATACCAGAAGGCATTTCCATTTTGAGCCAGGCCACCTAACAGGATCCATGTCACTGATTCCAGTTACCAGTCCTGTGTATCTGCCAAATGTGAATTTAATCAAAGGTTTGGATAGCTTAGTTTGTGGGGCTTCTTTTGACTAGATGTACAATTTAGCTTAAGAGTTGCAAGTACAAGCAAAACAAACCTTCGCTCTGCAGCATCTTCAGTTTCAAAACGCATTTTGAACCTCATTCCAATGGGAAAAGAATTATCAAGACCCTTCAGGAACTTATGCATTGGTATTATGAACTCTGACGAATTGGCCCTACAACATAGGCTTGGAAAATATTATTTGCCAAGAATTGGTTGTAAAGCATAGATGAAACAAATATGTGCAGATAACGCAGAGCATACAAATAACAAATATAAATAAATTATAACAAGGATAATTTTAAGGAAATTGTGCACAAAGCATAGGCAAACCATTTCTCACAAGAGATTAGAAAAATTAATAGTATATCTAGATGAAGTGTAACTAGCATTAATATTCACGGTATGTTGTTGTGCCAAACACATGCCAATGAGGTCAAATTCTAATTTTTACGAAGTAGCAGTATCTAACGAATGGGACTTTACTTACAATGGCAATTTCCGTTATGATGGAAGACTATGGGAGTATGCAATAATTTGCATCATTTCTCATATTTGTGGAAGAAAGCAGTTGGCACCATACCTTGGATTGTAGCAAATGCTGAAAGCCCCTTTGGTGGAAATAGCATGAATAACATCAGCAAAATTGCTGTGGTTCAATGGCTGGGGACACAATGCAGGAAAAGGAGCACAATTCTTAACTTGAGCTGCTCTTCGGATTCCCAGTCTCAATTCTCCATCCTCACCCCTAATGACATTAATAAGACTCTAATAAATGAATGGTTTCATCTCTCAGGGATATTAAAAAACTTAAAAGAATGGCTACGCATGGGAGATTTCAAAACCTAAGAAACAGCACAGCATCTCCAGAGACTAGCTTTTTCTTATTTACAAAAGCACTCCATCCAGTAGTAAGCAAATGCCTCCGTGGTTGCCCTGCTCAATAGCAAAAATATTGTATCATACGGAGAAATGCACCATTGAACAAAGTCCTGATTCATAGGCTCAACTTTCACAGTATCATATGTCAGAGAAAAGTGTAAGATTAAGATGCATGTGATATTTGAGACATACCCCTGTAGATATGTCGAAACCTCCACTCCAGGCCATGCAGGTCCTTTGCTACAAGCTCTTGGGAGGGCCTTTGTTGATTATAATCCTAAAATAACAGTTAACTTTAACTCAACAATCCACACAAAATTGTGTTCCACTAATTCAGATCAGAATGGTTATAAAATGCAAAGAAATGACAAGTGAATTATAATTAGAAAAGATAAAGCGCAGCTCAATTACCAGGGGAGGAAAACAGTCTTCAGCAGCTCGACGAGGGACTGAAAAGCCTCCATGGGTGCTCGTATCAGAAGCAGTAAGAGTCTTGCAGAACATATGTGGTGTGGTAGACTTGATTTCTGCTTCCACATCATCCTCTTCTCCATCTACCTGTACTTGCCCTTCCTTCATCTTTTGCTCAATTTGCTACAGCCAGCAACTCGGACAAAATCAGTCTCAAGAGAAGAACTTGAAGTGTCCCATTAAGTACCATGAAATTAGAAGGAAAAGGAACTATACCACCTTAAAACCAAAATTAATGGAGGATAAAGTGTCTAGTTTAGAGGCTTTAGGTACCCATTTCATCCTAAAGAAATCTAAGAAACGGGACAAAGGGAACAAATTTAACAGCTTCAACATTATCTTTTCTTCTTTTCTTTTTCCTTTTCTCCTTTCTTTTTGTCCCAGACAAAGAAACGCTCAAGCTAGGAAAACTGGTGCAACTAGACTAGAGACTCTCAAGGCTTTTTCTTATGGGTTTCAGATAGCAAAATATCTAAGAGAGAATTTTATTAGGTTTCTTTATTTTATGAAAAACCAAACAAAACCAGAAACTAGAACAGATGCCCACCTCACTCTCGGGAACCAGGGAGACTTGAGCATAAACCTCATCGGTTGCCACCTCTGCCTGCCAACAAATTCACACATTTCACAACAAATTAACCAAAAAAATATACTACTCAGTAACTCAACTTTCAGTCTCTCACTTTTTCTTTTAGAATCAAACTCTAAATCTCCAATGTTTGGGAAACTAAGGAGACAGAACTATAAACTTCAAATCCCTTTTTCTCATAAATCTAAAAGAAGTAAGATGAAAAACCAGATAACCAAACAAAACTGAAGAATCCAAAGTTCAAGCACAGTGCCAGCAGTTCAAATTCATTTGCTCACAAAGCAGATTTAAAAAAAGAACCTAACTTTCAAGTTCCTCAATCCAAGATACCCTTCGAAACCATAAACACACAGCTAAAAAAGTCAAAAATTCCCAAAACCAAAAAACCAAAAACATACCCATTTATCCTTTAGAATTCAACAACAAAATCCATAAGCGTATAAAACATAGATGCAAGTATAGCCTTATGTGTTAATGTGCTTACATGGAGTTTGACATCGACAACCCGACAAAACACTTGGGGAGGGAGATCATAGGCTGCAGCACCGGGAAAATCGGGAATATGTTCCAAGTGGCCCTGAGGGAAGTACACGACTAGACTCCCTTTCTTTGGCAACGATATCAGAGGCCCTGCACAAGCGTGCCAAAGCTCCAAACACACAGAACCAGAACCAGAACCAGAACCAGAACCACCGCCACCACCACCACCGGAAGGACTCACCCCAGAAGCACTTGGCACAGAAGCAGAAGATGAGGAAGGAGATAAAGACCCAAACGACGGCGTTTCATCATCCTCCATGGTATTGAGATCAATCAAACCCCCCATTGAGAAGCCAGAAGAAATATCTAGAGAGAATTGGTTTTAAGAAGTTCTGAACAAGTGTTTTTTTGCACAAGTAGCAAGAGACTGGAGAGAAAAAGAGGGTATTTCATGACTGCATTTTTTCAGAGCTGGGGAGGCAAGTGCAGGTGCACCTTTGGTACTGCTAAAAGGAGAAGGGAGACAATACCCTCAAAAAGAAACACCGTTTTCTTTATTTTCCCCTCCTTTTTCTTTTCCTCACTAGCTGGGGTTTTTGTCTTTTGCATATCAAATCAAAACCTTAATTAAACCCACCCAAGTTAAAAATTAAAAAATATTTACTCACACCCAAATAAAAATTACGAATACCCAAATACATATTTCATACCATGAATGATGGGTTAAGGAAAAAATGGTAGCTTTACGTTTCTTTTCTTGACTGCAAGGCTGAGCAGCAGCAGTGCTGCTACTTCTGCACCTGCAATGCTGGAGACAGCTTAGTGCATGACGGAGAAAGAGAGGAAGGAAAGAATCTAAAAGAGAGAATTAATGGAGTAATTTATTAGTATTTAGTAGACAGCACCTGTTGCTAGTATTAGCAGACAGCATCTGTTGCTTGAATTTCAATATAAAACCATTATTACAATTAATAACTGATTAATTAAATTAAAGGAGATAAAACTGAGTCTACTTGTACGATCCTCCTCTTCCCCCGTATTTCATGCGGATGTCTAACCTGTCCCCTTCTGCCTTCACCAAATCTAACTCATATCCTCCACCCTAGGGTGCACCATTAAGGGAGTGTACAAGTCAAATTATTTACATCTTCAAATTAATTACTTTTAAAATAATTTTAACAACGTCCATTTCACATCAACTTCACCTTTTTTAAAAATTAACTTTTTTAATATTTATTTTAACTCTTATATTTTGTTTTTTATTTACAAAATATTATTTTTTTATTAATAAATTTAACATTAAGATTACAAAATACCATCTTCATCATATCATCATAATAATTAAGAGAAAAAATACTTATAAGATTTTTTTTTTCTAAACAAAGGCAATTTTAAGAAAAAAAAAAGAAATCAAACATAATAGTTAAGCCTACAATTTATAAGTTAAATATAAATATTCAAATAATTTATAAAATTCGAATTCTTATTCAATCTAACTCATGACTTAAAATTTTAAAAGATGCACTTACCCTTTAAGCCAAGTGGAGTTCGGGCTGCCTTTACAAATGCATTACCCCCCTCTCCCATGTGGGTTCGAAACCCACCTTGTAAAACTTAGTCAAAAAAAAAAATTTAAAAATGAATAATTAGATTCGAATGGTCAGTTCCATACAAGTTAATGGATTGAGGGATTAATTATTACCAAGAATTAACCAAACCGTGGGGGAGAGCAGAGGAGTAAACTTTTTCTATTAAAGGGACAAGCTTTTTCCAGCTCAAAATCTAACCTATATTCTGTCTAAAAGCCCCACCACCTGTTCTAATTTGTTTGAATTTGGTATTGGATTGGACAACCATGATCCAAAGGAGCCAACTTGCAGCTTCATTACAACATCGATATCTCTTTTTTCCTTAATGATTCCTGTCTGGCCAAAGTTTTTGACTTTGCCAATATTACTTCTTTGTAGCTCATAATTAGTTGTTTTCTTGGGTAAAAAGCATTAAGGATTGCAGATCATCGTGCCTAACCATTCTGGGAATGTGTTAACGCCTTAAACGGATGACACTTCGTTTTACTGATGATGCTCGATGGTCACTATCGTAAAGTACACAAATTTATGCATTTCAACCAAAATTAAAGAAAATGCGGCTAATGTTGGTTATGAAATAATTAGGTTGAAATTCTGAATTAGTCATTAAAATTCCCTATTCTTAGCTCCATAATTAAGTTCTTATTTTGACTTGGATATATCTCCCTATAATCACCATCTCCTTCAAGTCCACTAGGACTTTTCTCTTATTCACGAACAGTTCTGGCACATGTTTTGCATTGATTACCTTGTCTGATATTTTCGAGGAGTTGTCTTAATTTATAGGTCTTTAGGGCGTGTTTCACAAGGTTTAAAAATGTATTATAAGTAAATAATTTTTTTATAAATTAAAATTTTTATTATACAAATTTTAAAAATTAAAATATCTTTTAAGTAAGTCAAAATTTATTTTAAAAAATCACTTAAAATTTTAATATTTTAAACTTTCTCTAACAAAAATTTAAATTTAAAATAAAAAATTTTACTTTTAAACAAATTATTTTTAAAATTTTGACAAACATCATCTTTGATTTCTACTCATTCCATTTGTTTATGTATGTTATCATAAAAGACAAGAGAATTCCATGCCGCACGTGTGTACTAAAAATCATGAAACCTTATAAAATAAAAAACAAAAAATGAAGTATCTTGAATAAAATATGAAAATGGCAAAATGAACCATAAAATAAAAAATATATTATGGATTAATAAGGTATTAATTAACACTAAAAATAAAAAATATATATATATTACTCCAATAAATTGTGGATTTGGTTTGGTTTGGATTAGATTACGTGGTTGGTGGTAATCATGATTAGATTAGCGAGAAATTTCTGGTGGTGGGGAGGGTGGAGATGTAAATCTGAGTAGGGATATGGACAAAGGTGCTGCAGTGATGAAATTGGGATGTCTTTGTCCGAGGCATAACCCCAGGTCTAAACCTACTTGGGCAGGCCTTTGCCCGGTAACTCGGATCGGATGAAACGGGTTACACCTCATTACCCAATACCCTTTCTTCCCCTTGTTTGTTTTCTTTTAGGATAGGACAAGTAATTCAATTTATGTGGGGAGGGGAAGGGGAATGAGGTGCATAAACTTGAACCATTTGTCAATAGGTAAGGTATGTAAAAAGGGCTTTTTATATTTAAATATTTAATTAATGAACTTGTAGGCCTTCCCCTTTCCTCTCCTCTCCTCTCCTCTCCTCTTCTGCTTTTATTTTGGGGGAAATTTCTTAAATTTATCTCTTAAATTAGATAAGAAAGAGATTTACTTTTTTTAAAATATATAAAGATAAATTATTTATTATTTGATGTATGATGTTACCACATTTTAAATTTTTTATATATGATAACATTATAGGTTAAATAATAAATAATTTATTTTAATTAATAATTTTTAAAAATGATTTATCTTAATTAAAAAAATAAATTTGTTCCTACTTTGTTATTTGAGTAACAAATTTGAAGGTTTAGCTTTATCTTATGGGTATATGTATAAACAACATGTTGATCTTAAATGAAATGAATTTAGTTTTTTTTTTTTAAATAAAATCTTGAGTTTGAATCTTGTAAATAGAGAAACAGTTATTTGGAGAGTTTCCTTCTAATAGGATCCAACATAATTTAATTTCAAATTAGTCAGAATTCAATATAATTATTGAATATCAGAATATCAATACAAAATATATATATATATTGTTTGATTGAAAAAAATAAAAAGAAAAAGTGAATGTTAGATCGTGAGGTATTATGACTGTCTATAAAATTAATTAAATATTTTTAATAAAATTTTTATATTTATTTATTAAAAATATTTATTAAATGTTTTTGTTATTGTTACTATTTGCTAATATTTTATTTATTAAAATGTTTTAACATTTTATAATCTCAAAAATAAATATAGAAAAACTATTTGCTCTCATTTTTATAGTGTTTTGTCTTATTAAAAAAGATTTTACTGTTGTTATAAAAAATTTTAGTATTGTTGACAAACAACTATTTGGGTAATTTAATGATAGTTAAATTTTATGATATAATGGTTTAAAATTAATAATTAGTTATTATAGTTAGTAATTTTATTTAATTTATAGAATAAAAAATTTAAAATTAATAATAATAATAATTATTATTATTAGCTATTAAATTAAACAAAATTACTATCTTCCATCTTGGTGGTTTCAAATTACCATACTAAACAGCCACAATATTTTTTATGTAAAAATAAAAAATTATGAATTGAAGTTATGTAGTTTGTATATAAAATAGGTAAATAGGGTTAAAAGGAATTTAATGTCTCTTAAATGAAATCTTGAATTCAAGCTTTGTTAATGAAAAAAATAAGTATTAAAAGATCGACCTTTATGAGATCCAATATGACTTAATTTTAGATAAATTGAAACTCAATATAATTTTTAAATATAAAGAAATTAGTGCAAAAAATAGAGTTGATAAATTTTTTTATAAAAAAGAATATTTTTCTGGTCAAACTTTAAAAAAAGAAAGAAAAAAAGTTAATTTATTAAAAATATTTAATTAATTTCCTAGGTGTTTACACTCTCTCTTTTTTTTTTTTTTTGACAAATTAACGTAAAAACGTTTTTTTTTATTTTTTTGATAATTTTTGTCAAGGAATCAGGTAAAACCGTAACCCATAAGAGAGGGAGGGAAATGAACCTACAATAATGACTAACGCCCGCCTCCCCTAGCGGCCAGGTTCACGTAAAAACCATTTTATTTTTTAAACAACCATAAAAATAAACCAATTTACATTAAAGAGATACTTTGGGTGGACGTGTAGCGGACGCGCATGAGGAGAACACGAGAATTAACTTCCTGTATTGCACTTTCTGTGGGCATAGTTATGGGATTTTTTTTTAATGATATAGGAAAACCTTTTTTCAGATATTAATGTGTATTAATTCAGATTTTTTAAAATAATTAAAATTTTAATTTTTATTTAAAAATTAAAATTTGTTATAGTTAATATTAATATTTAAATTTAAAAACTCATTATATATTTTAATATATTAATATTTAATAAAATAATTTTTTAAATTTTGAATTAAATTTTAATTAAATAAAATTACGTAATTTAATGTTGAAATTTAAAAATTTTTAAATATATTCTAATATAGGCACTGTTCTCTTTTCATTATTTTTATATATTTTTGATATATTATTAAATAAGTAAATATATTTAATATTATAAATTTTAATTAAATGAGTGAATATATTTAATAATTTTAAATAAATAAAATTTATTTATTTAAATGATATGTAAGATTACACTAAAAAATATAAAAAAAATTATTTTTAAATATATATATACATTTTTATGAAATATATTAACTACTTAAAATCGTTATAAAGAGAGGGCAGAGTGGAGAGGAAAAATGAGAGTTTGAAAATTGGTAAGTTATGAGAACAC